CTGCGGGACGCGTCGAGGTGAGCGCCCATAGTCGCGTTTACATGTGGGAATGTTCGGTTATCTCCGTAAGCCTATGGCCTGAGCTCAGTTGTATTGAACTCGCTCTGCATCTGCAACCATCATCCGGCACTACCATCGGAATGTCTCTTCCCACAACGTCCCCACCTTCAGCTAGGAGATTTGACAACCAGGGTCCTCCTAGACCTCTGAGGAAGTACGAACAACTCTGGTTTGAGGATGACTCTATCATTCTTCAAGCAGACAATGTTCTTTATCGTATTCACAAAGAAGATCTTTCCTCCTCTGTGGTGTTGAGCGATATGCTCGCATCGCCCCCGCAGCCATCAGCGCAACTTTAATCGCAAGCATGGCGATTTTCAATCGTTGGGCTTCCTGTCATCACTTTAAGTGATAGGTCATTCGATGCATCTAATTTTCTGAAGGCTCTACATGATCCAAGGTACGTAAGTTTGTTAGTTTGCAATATTATGATCAGTTTTGTGCTGATTCCAATATATCATCCCGAAGTTGTGTCGAAAAGCTAGGATTCAATGAGCTCGATGATATCTCCTCCATTTTGCAGCTCAGCGCAAAGTACGAGGTCGAGATGTTAAAATCTCGTGTTATGTCCACCCTGGGGAAAATTTTTCCCTCTAACCTCAACGACTACATGCAACGAGGAACTCGCTATGATGAAGGGACAAGATTGCCAGTGGGAAAGCTCTTCAAACTCGTTAATATTGCGAGAGAGGTGGATCGAGCTCAGATTCTCCTTCCTTATGCTCATTTCGTCGCAGCATGCTTTCGCAACCTGCATCCTCGGAGCCCGGGACACAACCATTCATGATCGAGTTAATTTTCCACGTATCATGGCAGGAAAACGAGCTTTCCCAACTATTGTACCCAACATATTTGAATCTCTTTACGGCCCCAATGCCGAAGTCCCCCTTGAATGTCGAACCCCAGAAAGATGTCGGGCCCACAATAGAGAAATATTCTTACTCAAGTCCTTTGTGATAGATGAACGCGATTTCGTTCACGATGATCTATTTTATCATTATGGTTGTTATTTTGCTCCTAAATCGTGCGTCGTCTGTAGGGCATCCATCGGTACTCATCTGGAAGGATACTCGCAGAACCTCTGGAATCGATTGCCAACCCTCTTCCAACTTCCCACATGGAGAGAGCTTGAAGAAGAATCGAAAAAATGAAGTGGGTCTATGCATGAAGCTGTCGTGAGTAATATACTTCTTTGGAATGCGTTTTACAATTTAACTTCATTGACAATGCAGTATCTTCAGGGAGGATTTGCTATGCTTTGGGGTATAGTAAACATCATGACTCCGAGTTTATTGGGATTCGTCCTCTTTTGACCGTCAATTTCTTTGTCCCTTGCCTTTCTCATTGACATCTACTACCCTCCCGACATTTCCTTCCTTTTTTCCCTTTCTTTTCCTAGTCTCCTGTGATATACTGTATGTTGTATTGTTCATCCCATTTTTTCTTCTTTAAATTTGTTCTTCAATACGGCTCGTTTACCATCTTCACCTGTATCCGAATTTGCTGCGCTCGGACTAGGATTTTTTTCTGACAATGGTTTCCAAAGACCTTAAAATATTGGGCACTCGTTCAATGTTCAATTTGCATATATAGTATTAAATATTCCAACCCTTTTCCTTGATTGTGGTACTTGGTTTGCTATTTAAAGTGAGTACTCGAAAGGTGGCCGCTTGTGACAATGTGTGACGATCGATTGAACTGTAAGTTCGTTCTTTTCCTCCCTCCAGCTCGTCTAGTCTTCAGCAAGCTCATTCATAGAACGATCTTACAATCAATGTCCCTAAAGAGATTCTCCAGTATATTGAGCCGGAAGTCTTCAGCTCGATCAACTGCAGGATCGTCCACAGGAGATCGATTGCAATATTCCTCTAAATCTTTGGTGAAGAATACTGCCCTTTGGTTCGACGATGGGACCATCGTCCTCCAAGCTCAAAATGTACTCTATCGTGTTTACGCCGGACATCTCGCCCGCTATTCAAAAGTGTTCACAGATATGCTGGCAATTCCACAGTCGTCGGATAGTGAGGATGATTCCCTTGAGAAGTACGAAGGAGTCCCACTCGTTTTCTTACCTGATAGCTCTTTCGATACAACCAACTTTTTGATGGCGCTCCTGCATCCAGGGTACTCTTCTAATATGCTGTCCAGGACTCTGCATAACCAGCTAACATAGTTGTTGACCTTTTCAGATTCCATGGGCGACTAGAATCACTCAAGATAGAGGAGCTTGCCTCTATTCTAAGACTCAGTCGCAAGTACATCGTCGATATCTTACTATCTCAAGTTGTGGGTATCTTAACCCAGCTATTCCCTTCGACTCTCAGCACACATATTAAAATCTCCAACGAAGTGAGATTAGCAAACGCCACCACAGGACAACTCTTTACCATTGCGAATATCGCCAAAGAAACGGGAGTAGATATACTCTTACCTTCTATCTACTACCGTTGTTGTCAATTGGAGCTCTCGAAAGTTATGGAAGACGCACAAACCCTAGATCCAGAAAATCTGAATCGAATCATCACTGGTCGAGACAAGCTACAGACTCTTACACTCCATTCATTTTCATGGCTGTTCGCCGAGGAAACGCGTAATTCGAAGAAATACGCACGTCTTGAGTCTGAGTCATGCCGTGATTGGGACTGTACTCGTGAAGCGGAAGTTGCCAAGGTTGCCAAAACTGCGAGCACCACCACTAGCAGTGGCTTGAATATGCTATTAGATCCTTTATGTCTTATGCTATTATGCAAAGCCATCCCGACAACTACCTGCGAGGGTTGTAGGGGAGGGATTAGCCGTCTTGCAACGACATCTGCCCTCAATGTTTGGACAAATTTGCCCCAAACTTTCGGTCTTCCTGAATGGAAGAAATTGGTGCGAAAGTGAGGACAATACCAAGGTGAGCGACATAGCGTCCGAGAAGTGTCGCTAGTTATCTTATAAAATTATTCTCCAATAGCATATTAAACGAGAAACTCCTCTTTCCAGACCATGACAGTCTGTCCTGTATGCTGTTCTATTGTTTGCTGAACTTTGACACTCCAACTCTCGAAGTAGCTAGGCTTATGCATGAAATTCAAACGACATGATATTGATACAGATGTCTTTGCCTTTATACCTTCACACTTTCAAAAAATCCTGGATTTGGCAAGTGTTCATTGCGGTCGAATGTAAAACTTATCCTAGTGTTCCAATGGATTCGGAAATACACTGTTTCCAAATTCTTGTGAGGAGAATTTCGAAGATATGAACATAGCGACATTTGTATCCAATTCAACAGTGGACCAGGAAAAAGCGAATAACTATGCGCATATATTAGTATTAGTCTTGGATTCACCAAGTACTCGTCGAACGTCTAACAACAACAGATATGTTGCATACGCAAGCAACTTAAAACAAGAAGACCTGTACATATTTGTGCATTAGGATACGTATATGAGTTCGGATTGCAATTTGTCCTTACTTGGTCCCCAAGTTTGCTGACAGTGCGAGGAGCAGGATAGTTGAGTTCTGCCAAATAAGTTCTGTTCAAATCGTCAGCTACGGTCTCCAAATCCAAACGAAGAATTCTTACTTCATAACATTCATCATAGGAGGAGGACCTAAACCGGAGACGTAAGTTGTCAGTGTACAAAAACATCATTGCCTAAAAGCCATATAACTTACCACACATGAGAATCTTGATATTATGATCGGTAGGTGGCAGGTGTTCATGGATTTGTTCCTTGGTGACAAAACCAACACCACCAGTCCAACCAGCTGGTGGGTGGTTCAAAACATAGTAAATCTTGAACCGGTGAGAGTGTTGCGAAGCTAGTTCGTCAAGTTCCTTTTTCAATAAGATATCCTCCGGAGTGACATTAGCGTAAATGAGGCTCAGTTTTGTACGATCCAGAGGATTTTTAAGAGCGGCACGAATGATTTGAAGCATAGGCGTGATTCCGGTTCCACCAGCGATCATACCGATTTCACGAGTAAGACTCATATGATAGTTGAATTGACCCTTTGGACCTTTGACCTTGATGGTTTGACCGAGCTTGAGATGGGAAATGTATCGTGAGATGTTTCCCTTCTCGTAAGCCTATATTCAAGCTTCAGCATCATGCTGTCTATGTAAGAATATAATATGGACTACGAATGCACACCTTGATCAAAAGGTCAAAGTGACCGCGATCGTCGTCACTGCTCGTAGGAGTATAGCTTCGCATAATATCCTTTCCATCAATGTGCGCAGAGATTTGAATATGTTGTCCAATAGGAAGCCCAAGAACATCTTCTGGATGAGGAAGTGCAAAACGATAACTATGTAGATTGTCAACCGAAGCGTAAGTATGAGGAGGGGGCTTCAGACGTACATTGCAGTATTGTGCGAGATGACAATCTTCTCCTGTAGAGGGAACTCCTGCCACTTCGTAGGGTCAAGCACAGGCTTACGCTCTGCATTGATACGGGTTTTGAGTAACAATCGAATAAGCAACTCTACAATGTTCACTTACTACTGCCAGAGAACTTATAGTACAAAAACGCGCTTGTCAATGCCGTGGATACCAGTACAGCGAGTTGGGCATAGGTACTGCTATTGAAATCCGGCATTTTTAGTTCCGATGGGTTGGTGCCTTCTTCTGGTAGGCCGATAAGTATGAGTTTGGAGATGTCGTATCCTGCTGCTTTGAGCTTTCCAGTAATGAAGTGGTAGGAAAATACGAGAGAAAAGAAAACACCAAAGAAAGACCCAAGAAAAGCTAGCTGAAACCGGTTAGGCATGCCAATGCGCTGGCAGCTTCAATCCTGACAGTGAAAGCGAAAGTATCGTACGAGCTTGGAAGTTATAGTACGATGTTAATGATGGCCGCGACTCGACGCGTTCGACCGCCATGAAGACACGTGGCTCGAATTCCAAAATCAAACTTTTAATTGACTGTAAAGTAAAGGGGAAAAAATGAATCGGCCCAGGTTCGAACTGAGGACCTTCTGTGACCCACAAAATGTTTATTGTTAGACAGATGCGATAACCAACTACGCCACCGACCCTTACATAATCCAAAGGGTCATCCATTAAATTCTAATTAGTCATTCAATCTACATAGACCACAGTCACTACCCTTCGTGACAACCGTATTGAACGTTGTACATACTCTCAGCTGCATCATCATAAACTTCAAGTCGCCAGTATACTTAAGAAGTGGTCCCGGTACTACAAGATCATATTTTTAGTCTATGTTTATGCCGATGTAAGCTAAATTGTATCCATTTACTCAATGAATAGTCTACTCGAAGATCGATTCTGAACTGACTTGGCTTCAAGCCTTCTGTCAGGTTGAAATTTATCATACAGATCGGTTCAACATGGTGCCTCAGTGAGGTTGGAAAAATCTGCCGCGTTGTGTTTCTTGCATTTTAGCATGTAGCGATCCCCAAATCTTCCATGACCGGTCACCATCTCTACTTTTGGACAATTCAGAAAGAAAGACCAATTACCACAAATGAAAGACGTTCTCTGGAACTGGTGATGTATTCGCTCTTGCAAATACTGCGAAGGAACCTAGTTTTGCTCGATAAGGGTGCTAATACCCGCAGCAGGCTGCACAACGTTACCGCGTAGTAAGTCACAAGCTTAAGAGCACCAGCGAGGGTACAGTGAATCTAACTTACATCTTTCTCCATCTGTGTCCATTCTAAACCCATCTCTTCAAAAAGGTTCAAGACACACGCATCAACCAACAGTTCTCCTCTGAACCCAGTTTATCTTAGGATCTCTGTCCGCCGCAGTCGTCTAGAGAAGACGACGTTTCTGGAGAACATCGAGACTCGATAGTCTTCCGCACAGTACGCAGGGTTCAACAACTCACAGTACTATAAAATCGCACTATCTCGCACTATCTCGCAGTACCTCTCGAAGGTCATTTCCCTGGAAGATCACAGCCATTCTCTCTCTTGCACATTACACCTGAACCATGACATCCGGACAAGCTCCATCGCTTCAAACTGATTTGAAGAGATGTCCTGAGCTATGGTTCGACGACGGGACGATTGTCATCCGAGCAGAAGACACGTTGTTTCGTGTCTATGCTGGTCAGCTTTCACGATGCTCTGCTGTGTTCAAGGATACATTCTCTCTCCCGCAGCCTCCACTTGGTGACGATGCAAACGAGGTGTATGAGGGAACGCCATTAGTGGTCTTGAATGATTCGGCTGCGGATATGGAGGCATTTCTACTCGCTATCTTTGATGTCCAGTACGTGGCGTTTTGTTGATATTTTCAGGTCACTTCGCTGAATGCTCTGATTCATAGGTGTTGCTTGAAGATCGAAGATAATGTCGTCTTCGATAATATCTGCAGTTTTGCATCGATCTTGCGAATCAGTACTAAATATGAAGCAGCAATGATACGCTCTCAAGTACTTCGCTCTTGCTTGAAAGCTTTTCCTTATAGCTGGCCTACTCCAAAGAAATCTTGTTTTTTCTTGGAAGGATATCTCTTCACAACAAACCGTGCTATGTGCAATTCGGGAAAGATCTTTGCATTTGCCAATGTTGCGAGGGAGACTGAATCAAATCTTCTACTGCCTTTCTTGCTTTTTCTATGTTGCAGATTCGAACTTCCTTTAATCCTCGATGGAGCTATCTCCTCAGGGGAACATGCAATCCTCAATCCGGAGAATATGAGGAGCGTGCTTGTCGGCCGTCGCGTCCTCGAACACCACGCTCTCACTGACCTCGCAACGAAACTCTCTTCTCATAATGCTGATTTGCCGGGGCATGACGACAACTTCTCAACGGGGATACATTGCAAAAACCAATTATCAGGCCTCATGATTGCACGATCTTCCCTCGCAAGAAATCTACACTTTCATGATCCACTATGTCCGTCTCCCAAATATTCTTCCACAGACCAGGCGTTCCGGGCCACAATGTGTAACAGTTGCGCAAAATGGGCGGACGACACTATTGAGCTATGCAAAATGGATGTTTGGAAAGAATTACCAATAATCTTTGGTCTCGACTGTTGGAGCAGTTTGAAGAAGGATTATATGCAGCAGGTCCAAGAAGTGTGGGGGGGTGCATCCTGCTTATAGTCGCCACACGGTATTTTAGATTACGCAATGAACTTGAATCTACTGCCATAGGTCTGATGCTCTGCAATGCACATCATCGTGCAGCGACTCGTATAATGAAATTTGATTTAAAAACAACAACGTAATACACAAGATGCACAAAATCAGACACCATAGAGCAAATGGAGGGCAAGTGAATGAAAGAAGGAGAAGACAATAACAGCCAACAGCAAACGGATTTCCAAAGTCACAAACTGACGACTCCAACCACAGCTGATGATACAGAACAAAATCCGCAGAGATACAACTAAAACTTTACCGTTTAGGAGGTTTCCTCTTGACTTCATCGTCTTTGCAAGCATGAAGCATGAGTTTGTTAGGATGTCCTGGTGTCATCCCTGAATGACCTTTAGACCAATCGTATGATACGGCATAGGCGAAGATAGTTCCAGTTCGGTTGAAGGCTGTGGCCGGAACTGGACCAGGAGCAGGTTCGAATGCTAAGATGAGACATTAACAAAGACGGAAGGAAACGAAAAGGTAGACAAATAGCTTACTTTTCAGACGGGTACGGGCGTCCTTGTCCCAATAGTTAATCGTTCCGTCAGATCCTAGAAATTTGGTTGGCGTTGAATCAGAATTATTCTGAATAACTACTAAGACGGAATTCAAACACACCACAAGTGGAGAAAGTCCCATGTACAGGATGGAAGGAGATATCATTCACGGCGTAAACCAGTGATTGATCTTTAGAGTTCGGATTCTGGTCACGACGATGACATTTGAAGGAGAAGTTATTCCTGAGAAAGACGATTTAATATGATGTTCAGCTCAAAACTCTCAACCGTAGGTTATAGGCTATAACTCACGATGCATCTTTTTCGTCGACGTATCTGAAATTATTTGATTGAACAAACTGATCGCCGGTGTGTTTGAATAGCGAACTTACTGGATAGCCACACGACCTTCAACACTACCGACAGCAAAACCGTTGCCCGAAGGGAAACAGGAGACAATTCTTGTTTGCCATTTTAAAGGTGACAATATATTCTAGAAAGTGACTACAGTTTGAACGTTGTTTGAGACGGAAAGACGCCATAAAGCTTACTTTGAAAGGTGCTGTTGGATTAGTGAGATTATAAACTTGAATATGGCGCTCGGCGGTGCCGACGACCATGAGAGGGTATACGACATCCATTGTGTAGCATCTCTCGGGAAGTTGAACAGTGGAGATAGGGTTTGGCGTTCTCAGATCCCAATACTGTTCAAGAAGGATATCCACTAAATACCAAGTTATACCATTTTGAACGGAAGTGAACAACATACTTTGACAGTTTTATCCCAGCTTCCCGTTGCTAAAATGCCACCTTGCGGTGATTCTATCCATTTAACCACCCTAATTGGCGCTTCGTGTTGTGCGACTTGAGTCGATTGCCCTGTGGTCACGTCAAACATCCGTCCTGCATTATCTGCGCCACCGGACAATATCTTGTTTCCTTCCTACACATAATGTTACATTTAGCGTTCGCTGAGAGAGGTGTGTGCGTCTTGTTAAAGAAAAACACACGGAACACGAACGAGCATACCTTGTTCCAACATACACTCAGTACGGGACCTTGATGAGTATACATAGCCTTTCCTTGTGTTGTTCCGTTGGCTTGAACTTCATAGATTCTCACCTAAAGTTGCGCCGGGAAGACTTGATTTAAAGTATATTCAAAGACACTGAAAGAAAGCCTCACATTGTTGTCCCAACTTGAGACCGCGAGATAGTCTGCTTGAGGAGAAAACGCGATAGATGAAATGGAATCGGTAGGAGGATCGCTGACTTCGATATCTTTCTCCGGGATTGCAGAGGACGCGACGTTGGACGTCGTCCCGCTGAAAAACGACATGGCGTTGGCGAGAGATGGAGGTTAAGAACAAAGAGGACTATTAGTTCAAGCAAACTACTATACTGGACAACACTGTTTCAATACAGCTTGGATGCTCACGTGATATGTGACGGATGTTTCTCACGCTCAGTGTAAGTCCCATTTTAGAATTTTCAAGTTCGCCTCAAGTTGTTTGCGTCAGCATCATGATTCATTCACATTCTGTTCAGTACAACTTCAAACATCAAGCAACGCGGTGAGCATATGTTCTGGAACTTTACCTTGGTCGAGCCTCTCTTACGAAGCAGAACAATCTGTGATTTTTCAGTGTTTTTCATGCATCCACTTCCTACACTGCGATGATTTCACAGATTGTACCTCAAAATAATCCTCATGCATCTGGAACGAATGGGTATGTGGGTTCAGTGAAACACATGAAATAACCTAGGCTACTCATATTTTACCTTGTTGAAGGACTGGGTTCTGATTCAGCTTAAAAATAACATACAGTCGACACAGAATTATTTTTGCACCCAATGTCGATCGTCCCTAACGACATTCCGTTGGTTTCGGATTTCGCAAACCCATGTTCGGAAACATATGTCATTAGTTGGTTCCGATTTTTTGAGGTCTCGCCAATGACTGTAGATTCTGCAATAACCCCTCGTCGACTTCAGCCAATCATTTACCACCATGCACAGTCCATCGCTTGTCTGGAACGTCAAACATCCTATGCAAAGGCTACACTTGTGCCGTGAAGACAGCAACTCTACGAGGTAACTGACTGGAGAAAAATGTATATAAGGATGGACCATTTCTCTGTTCAACTTCATCAGCTCGACATCCAGTCAATCGCATCTGCAGTGACCAGTACTACTCCATCCCCACCACATTACAACTTATCACTTATTTTCCAAAAACCACTTTATTCTACACGCGTTTCTCCACCTTCACCACACTCTGCATCTTTGCTACCATTGCCATCGCTGCACCTGTCGACGTTGAGGAGCGTGGGGTTTCCCACAACAACCAGGGTGCTGGTAGTGCGTACAGTGTCCACACTGGCAATGTCAACGGTGGCAGCATTTCCAACTCTGGTGGATTTGTATACAACGTGCCCTTTACCAGTAAGAAATCATTCTTCACGGAGGGAAAACATCTCACTGACATCTTTCTTTTTTTGCAGACACTGCAGGTCGAGGTGGTTACAGTGGTTCTGGTATTGCTGTCGCTGGCAATGACAACGGCGGCGGCAGTGCCTACTCTGGAAGTACTAGCGACTCGGACGCTTACGGTGGATCCATCTCCAACTCTGGTGCCTCAACGGCTTTGACTCGAGTAAGTCTCATGCATTTCTACATCACATAGGTAAATCGATTTACTGATAGGCTGGCACTTGCAGACACTGCAAGAAAGGGTGGTGTTTCGTCTAGCGGTGCTGCAATCGCTGGAAGCACTCATGGATACAAGAGAGGCTTACACGGGCAAGCTGGAAGCGCATAATCTGGAAGCACTGGCAGTGTTAATGGAGGCAGTGTTTACAATTCCGGTGGAAAAGTCCTCAATGGTCCCTTCGCTAGTAAGTTCTCATTCACATTATGAGAGTGTTGACTGTATGCTTATCACGATTTCTGTCAGACACTGCTGGAAGAGGTGGATACTCCATCTCGGGAGATGCTATTGCAGGAAATAGCGTCGGTGGTTGAAATGCATACTCTGGTTCTGCTGGAAGTGCAGATGGTGGTTCTGTATACAACTCTGGTGGAACCGTCATCAATGGCTTTGGATCCAGTATGTTTCCCTTCACAGTTTGAGCATTATAGCAGAATATACTGATCCCTGTTTAACAGACACTGCTGGAAAAGGTGGTGTTTCTTCTAGTGGTGCTGCCATCGCCGGAAGCACTCACGGATACAAGAGAGGATTCCACGGCGGCCAAGCAGGGAGTGCATACTCCGGAAGTACAGGAAGTGTCAACGGAGGTAGTATTTACAATTCCGGTGGAAAAGTCATCAATGGCCCCTTCTCCAGTAAGTTGTCATTCACATCGTCAAAGCGTTGACAAGATGCTGATTATGGGGGTTCTCTCAGACACCGCTGGAAGAGGTGGATACTCCATCTCAGGGGACGCTATCGCTGGAAACGGTGTTGGCGGAGGAAACGCATACTCTGGCTCTGCTGGAAGTGCAGAAGGTGGCTCCGTTTACAACACTGGCGGCACTGTCATCAATGGCTTCGGATCCAGTACGTCTCCCTTTACACCTTGAACGTTATGGCACAGGATGCTGACTCTCGGTGCTCTTTCCTAGATACTGCCAGCAATGGTGGAGTTTCCAGGCGTTGTAACGCTATCGCTGGTGGCACCCACTAGATCTCTCAAAAATCCGAATCCACCATAGATTTAGATGTGGTTTAGATGTTTGGTTTCACTTACTACGGGTCTTATGGCTGTGTATTTCTTTCTAGAGATTTCTTTCTCGTCGGGTATCATGTAGCCATAGAACTTCACACTACTTATCGAAAAATAGATTGAAGTTCATCTTATACACGTCTATCAGTACAGTGTAATACAAAATGAATCGACCAACCGGGGATTCGAACCCCGAATCTTTAGCTAATCCAGAGCCGGAAACTAACGCCTTAACCATTAGGCCAGTCGGCCATAACTGAATAAAGATCTTGAGACATAATGGCCCGGAACGGCTGTAAATAGATATCCTTGAAATTCATTCACGCTCACCTGATTTTGAATTTCGCACTCGCGTTCTAGCTTTGTCTGGTACCGTTTATCGTCCTGCCCCTTCGTTCCCTTTCATCTCTCTACTACTAGTACTACTTACTTACCATGCCTACCATGAGCGATACAGACTATGTCATCGATTTGACAAGCTCACCCCAACTTCACACTGTCTCGATATCCAGACGAAGTGATATGGAATCACCGAAAGCGTGTTCAAGTCGCGTTCCAAATCTTCCTAAAAGTCACGTCCTCGATGGGAAAACATTCATGATTATGGGGAAATGGATGACCATGTCGAGTGAGCAAGCAAAGGAATTATGTAAAGCAAATGGAGGGTAAGAATGATACTTTAACTTCTCGACTATGTGTTGCCTCTAATTCACATTTCGTAGACGCGTCGTTTCCGCCGTATCTGGAAAAGTAGATTATATTGTTACAGGTGCTGCTGGAACTCGGGAAGATGCAGGTTATAGCAAGACATGACAATCACCGAACGTGATTTTTTAACATGATCCTTCCTGCTCCTGAGACAGCAGGACAGAAACGAGGTGCAGACCAAATGACGGAACCTGTCTCTAGGCCTTCGAAGAAGAAGACATCGAAAAGCTGAACCAAATCAAGGATTGTGCTAACACGATCAGATGATGTACAAACGAGTTCAAGATTTCATTTACGACGGAGAAGTTCATTTGAAGAAAAAGAAGATCAATGCGTATGATTGTGGTGGGCAGGTCTACGATGATGTCGCAAGAGGAAAGAAGAGTATCCACGAATTATTGGTTGGATTTGGAGAATGGTTGGACGAAGTTGATGGCGTGAGTACTCTAGCATCACCTTGTTACATTTTCTTGATATGAATTTCTTGTCTGGTGATAGGATTATCATCAACAAATGGGATTTTAGATCGAAAGGAAGTACTGTGTAAATGGTGTACTATATACTGTTGGATTGTCAGTGTGAACCTTGTATGAAGCTGAACTGAGATTGACTCACCTAGGAATTCTGTAGATTTCACAATCTCATTGATTGTATTCACATTTATCCGTAGAAGCCTATAATGTACAAGAGAATCTATTAGTTGGTGTTGTCACAAATTCTTTCTTATTTCACACTTTGATCAGTAATTTTTGTAGATGGTGTAACACAATTATTATGTTTTTTATCCTCAGTGAATCCGCGGGATAATTCACAATTCAACACATGCGTCATTCCCAAATCATCCGGTCTCCAACTCTAGTGGCAGTCTATCTTTGTGCCGACGACTCTCCTAGACTTTGACGACAGCACTTGGATTTATAGAGCGGAAAAAAGACGTCAGTCAGGCCCACATTCGCGCGCCTAACTACCATATCAGGAAGTACGTCACCCCAAAAAGGCAATGCTAAGTAGGAATGTGACGTGCGGATGAGCGAAGCGGCCCAAGATCGAGGTGGAGGGCTCTTATATAAAGATCTTCCCCGACAGTTGAGTGCATTAAACTTCTTTCTCCTTACTTTCAACCTCGCCGAGTTTACTCTTCGTCTCACTCAAACAACATGGTCGCTCAAAAGAGTCCTTACAATCTTCCCGGAGGCGGTCGCAACGTCGACAATGTCACATACAACCCTCAAGCCGACGCTGGTCGTGACAACGCTGCGTTCGATCCAGATGCTGACGCAGAGGATTTCCATCCTGTCGGCGCCCGCGGTGCAGCCAATCAACCGACCAATGTCAATTTCGGTCGCGAGGACAGAGAGGCGGAACAGTCTGAGCAGAGCAACCAGATCCCCAGACGTACGCGTTTGTCGGAAAGCTGCTGACAATATACTCATATTTTTTACACAGGCGAAGTTGATGATCTCTTCAGCAGCTCTACCCAAGAAGAGAGAAGCGCTACAGGTACCCGTGGCATGAAGAACGATGCTTGGAAGCAGGAAAGGAACGTAGATCAAGCATTCAGAGAGACCGGTTTGGAAGACGCTGACCAGGATGTTGATATCTCTGCTGGTACCGGTCGCGGTTGAAGTGGTGAAAGTTTTGTATGAATGAATGATCGTTGGACGAAGAATCCTTCCGTAGCGTGTTATGTTCTTCTTGTTGTGTTGTGATTTTATAGTTCTCCAGAAATTTGAAGCATTATTCATCAGAAAATTTTTCTTATATCCATTCGTTCGATATTGAGAGCTCGAGGGAATATTTTTGGTTTATACAGGCAGCTTCGAATCTTTGATATCTTCTTTAATCTCTTCGACTGTGGCATCACCCGATGAGGTTGAATCATCAATGATGCCCATGAGAGAGGTATCGTAACCATGAGCTTCCAGATACTCTCGGAACTGTGAAGTAAATGATTGAGAACGAATTCTCGTGAAAACCAACTGAATGTGAATCACCGCTTCATCCTCCTTAACCATGCCGTCGTGTGAAAGAGGTCGAATCATGAAGAAAGTTACTATAGCTGAAAATGCAGCAAACGCACTCCCCACCCAGAAAGGGCCAGTATTACCCTTCAGCGAATTAGGACCACCAAAAGCGTCGATCATTGCAGGGAATGCTACAACAATAATCAGATATCTATGTTTCCCAAAGAGATGAGCGTTTTTGAATAGAACTTACCCCAAGTCCCAACGAAACCTCCAACTTTCCCAACCGCAGCAGCCACACCATAAAATTGACCACGTACAGCTGTAGGTCCTGATTTTGCTGCAATCATGATTAAACAATTGCCTGGACCGAATTCTCCTAGGCTGAGGAAGATACCGTAGACGACTGCGAAACCACCGATTGGGTGGACTAAGTCGACGTAGAGACCGCTCATGATGAATCCGATGATAGCTTGGAGTACAAGGCCTATTATCTATTGAATATGGGATGCATGATTATATTGTTAAAAGAATGTAGTTATGTAGATGTTAGGTTGAATGTTACCATTGTCCATTTAGGCCCAAGGTAGTCGACAGTGAAAGCTCCGATGATTGTACCGGGCATGTAGAACAAGCTTGAGAGAGATGTGAGTCAGAGATATTGCAGGTTGGGTGAACTTGGAGGCAAGGAGGGGTTTGTCAAGCTCACTTTATCACGGTAGCCCATCCGAAAACGACACCAAGAGAAGTACTGTTATGGGTAATGCTAATCAGTCGTAAAAAAACCCACTACTGTTAGATTTTTTGTCATTTGGTCGGGCGAGATGAAATTACTGACTTGTCGACGATAGTAGAAGCGTAGATACTAAACTAAATTTATCGATAATAAGTAAAAATCTTCGACTAGGACCCGACGGTTTGATGCGTTTTGAAAACTTACCGGGTATGCGATGAAACAATACACAAACCAATTGATGCAAATACCCATTAAGCTTGGCCAGTAACGTTTAAAGATTAACCAATAAGGCGTTCTTCCACGAACCATAGAATCTTTCTTGAATCGAGTTGGTTCCTCCATCTTTAATCTCCAGATGAATACTGCCATCGCTGGAACTACTGCGATACCAACGGAAAGACGCCAAACTGCACGAAGATGGTTGTCACCGAAGCTGTCAAAAAGGTGTGATTGTTAGAAAGGAAACAACGTAATGGATTGTGATACTATTTTACTTACATCCAAAAGAGTACCAAAGGGACAAAAGACGACATGACAAAGCCAAGATCGACCATAGTAGCTGAAATATTATAAGCCATAAACTTCCACATAACTGAGAGATTGAGGTGGTCAACTTACTCGTAGCTAACACAAACCATCTATGCTGAGCATTTTTTTGAATTCCTTCCTCTTCGGACTGTTCAGATGCAGCAACTGAGCCACAAGGATATTCAGCCCCAAGACCAATACCAAGAAGGAAACTGTAATGTCAAAAAAACTTCCCAAGTTAATCGGGAGGATGATAGCGTTTTTTATTTTTGTTTTCACGAACCGGCATGCACCCAACATGGCAAGCATCCCACTAAAACTATGGTGTGCTCCGAAGGATACCGCAGAGATGACTGAGAAGAATCCGACGATCCCAGTAGCTATCATCTGAGTATCAATGTTGTTATGAATATGAGTTGGTCGTTATTCAGTACTATAACTTGATACACACCATTCCAGATTTACGACCCATTTTATCCGAAAGATAACCGAAAGAGAGCATTCCTATAACCATACCAGCTTGTGAAAGACTGGCAAGTGTGGCACTGTAGTTGTGGGCGAGTATAGTTTCGGTGCCATAGATGCGCTTCAAAACTATAAATATTTTTTTGAGGATGTGATTGAAGTAGTGTCTGCAATTGAAGGAGACATACGAGTGACAACTAGAAGACAATTAATTAATATGATGTCAATTATGGAACTAAATAGAAATAACACACCCTGCCCAATGACTCCATTAGCATATCCTGACCATAAGAGTGAGTTGTTTTCGTTTTCCTGCATGGTCGACGCTCTTGACACTCACCATCAGAGAAGAGTGCAGTTCCACACCTAGAAAACTTGTCAGTCACACTAATGTTCTGAGCGGTAACTATGAATAGAAACGTACGCAAAGATAAGAGCCACGCCTGATAAACCAGGCTTTTGTAGAGTGCCTTCCACAATTTCCATATTGTATACTCAGTAATAGTTGTGGGGAGAAGAAGGAACGTGGTCTGAAAAGACGGTTTTAAAAATTACGACGGAATTTATGTTGGCGAGTATCGATGAAAGACGGGGTTCATGGAGACCCGAGCAAGAGTATTTGCTTGATTTCAGCATTCGTCGCTCCTGGTTCGGGATCTGTCCTTTTGACTTAAGAGATTTATTTAGAAAACTTTGGTGCAGCATTCGCACAAGTGACCTCATACACACCTGCTTTGGAGCTTGGATGTTGTGATCAAGGCTTTCTTCTTCTTCTTTGCTATCATATGCGATCCTGAGTTCTTTGATACCACGATACCGGTGGAAAAGTGTCATCAGCAAGAAACCACTTG